TTGCTTCATAACGATGACAAGACTGAACATATTAGTATGCTTGGTTGAAGATATTGATTCATTTATTTTCTATAAAAGAGTCTGTATAATTGCAACACTTTTAAGGAGGTCTTCTAGTATCTCGAAACGTTTAGATTTTAGGATTAATATGGTTTACTTGTACAACGTTGAATTGCATGTCTGTAAATTTTCGTTAGAAAAGGTGGAAAAATACTGGTATTACAGGCTGTTGTCCGAGGGTCCTTTCAAAAATCCACAGTTGATGGTGTCCATGATTCAGGATTTTCCTGTTACTGGAAACGATAAGATGACCAATATTTCTTTAAAGTATGAGTGCAGCTATGGCAGCAACTAAGTAAAAGAAAACAATATCGATAAATAAAAACTCGCGGCTTTCTGAACTTGACTTATCGACTTTTTGACTTATCTTTTTAATGATGTGAGTGTAAAAGGAATAGAAGAATGAATAAACTTTTTGATGATACTAGTTCGAACCACAGGCATAAGAATGCTGAGTAATTGTAAGATGCCAAATTAATTTTTAAGAAATCGCGGACACCGTTTAGAAAAACTCAGTTTCGAGAAGAACGTGTTTAAGTGTAGTTTATTTGCGATAGAACCGTTCGCTTCAACTATCTATATCTCGGCCGATTTTACGAATTCCGCACCGAATGGCTATGCAAACATGTTTTCAAGGATTCAAACTTGAAGAAAATACAATAGAAAAAAATCGACTTTTTTTACCCTCGAATATAGAAGACCTCCTTCAGGTAAAACATGTGGAACCGGTTATTTTTACCGGCTCGGTTGGTTTAGTGTTAATTTCTCGCGCGTGACGTTATGCATTCGAGAAAAAAACTTTCACCAAGTTGTCCAAAAGCAATTTATGATGCCAAAGCAGAACCAAATTTATTCAAACGCAATTTTATTCGTCCCTCCGTGAGACTAAACGACGAATAAACGCGACAAAACATTCTAAACATTCTTTAGTGCAGATGTTGCATCTAAGTTAATGTATTCATTCTCATGTGGCAGATGCAAAATTTGATTTTCTTTGTATTATATTGCAGAAAAATTAAATTAAAAATTGTAATTTAAAAAGTATATTTAAAAAAAATAATTTAAAAAATGTATTATAAAAAAAAATATAATACTTTGAAAATGTTTATCCAAAATCTCTTGATTGAATTCATATAAATAACAAAGTTATGACACTTCAATATAAAAATTTAAAAGCGTTTCGTCGAAACATACATTTTTCCGGTTTCAGCGATATCAAAAGAATATATTTTAATTATATTATTAATTATAATTTTATAATTACATATTTATGATTTATATTTATATTTTATAATTATCATTTTAATCATATTATTTCATTATAATTATATGTTCATTGAATTCAGTTTATAGTAATTGAGATAAATTACTATTTTTACTATTTTACTAAATTATTCCATTTTCAAGATAATGTAATTATTTTGATACAGGCGATAACGATAAGCGTATTAATTAAGAATCTTCTTGATTGTTTTTAGTCCGCTCTGAGAGCTCCGATTATCTGCAACAACAAGACATAATTTTTAAACGGGTATTTATCGAAGCCGAAACAAATCCAAGAAGCATTTAGTCAAAACAGTATACAAAGTTGTTCTTTTATGACGAAGAAATAAGTAAACTAATTGCAAATTACATGCATCATCATCTTGAAAAAAATCATGAAGCTTGACAAATTGTGCAATGTTCACATAAAAATGTCCCGTTAATATGTATAGCTTCACTCGTTTCTCTCGATGAGGAAGCAATATTCGTATACATATATTCCACATAAACATTTATGAGCGGAGTTGCCGCCGAACCAAGTCAGAGTATAGACATATTATACCTGTTCTTTAAATTACGTTACCGTTTATTGTACGAAAGCGCGGTTCGTCTTGAACCATTCGTCTGTTCTACTGAACCGATCCGCCATCCTTTTAACCTAATTTTACTAAAAAAAAAGTCTATATCTTTTTATGATAATTATGAATAAATTGTAACTAGAAAAACATTTCCTTGACGATATCAATATTTGTTTGAGTCTAAAATGAACACTTGTAAATTCGAAAAAAAGAATAGTCTCACAATAATTTGAACCGACGCGACATGAGCAGAAGTATGGACACAAATATGAAAACTTCACAATACTATCCACAATTCCAACGAATTGTAATAAACGTTGCTTGACCTAAAAGATTAGACGTCGCAAAGCATTGATAGAAATTCAAATTACGTGACAATGCTATTCATCCAACAATGCTATTCAGTCAACTAAATTTTTATTCGAATACGAAATCGTTCGAGCAAAAATTTATTCGTTTATAAAGTCAGTATACAGGGTGACCTATTTAAATCAATCCAGTCAAATATCTTCGAAACCGTCGATGACGCTGAAAAATATTTTAAACGAAATTTGAATGGCTTTTAGGCATGTAATCTGATATTAATCAGATTTTTTTAGGTGAACGCGTCGAGGACATATGAAGGTTAACTTCATTTTTTTAAATGGAATCATTTGTGCTTTATTACACTAGTCGATTCAGCTCTTCATTCTCTTTATAAAAATACTGAGACTTGTGAAAAATCATTGGTTTAGAAGATATATTTGAATTTTAGTGTATATATATATATACTTTAGAGACCTGTGTAAATCTTTGCATTCAAACTGATGATCGCATTTTTTAACACCAACTTTAGATAGGTAAGTGTTAGTATGCATTATTAAAATTAAAATATCTTCTAAACCAATGATTTTTTGCAATAAATGCCTTAGTATTTTCATGAAGAGAATGACGATCTGAATCGACTAGTATGATAAAGAATAAATGAATATGTCCTCGACACGTTTAAAAATCTTATCAATATCGGATTACGTGCCCCCTAAAACTATTCAAATTTCGTTTGAAATATTTTTCAGTATCATCGACGGTTTCGAAGATATTTGACTGGATCGATTTAAATCTATTATAATCTATTCGTTTATAAAGGTTTACTTACACATTATTTTAAACACGTGATCGATAGATAATCCTAAAGCGTAAGAGAAAGCTGAGAGAGGAAAGAGGGGCAACGTGATAGAAAATAAAAGTACGAAGTATACAAAAATAGGATTAGAAAACAGGCGATGGAATAAGTGGAATGTGTAAAATGTGTGGAATGTGTGGAACGTGTGAGTGAGATGTACGAATGGCTTTAGGTTACATTTGCAAAACGTGCTTCCTCTTCTTGACTGTGAAGCCGAAAACAAAGAATTGTTACCATTATTACATATTTTAATGATTCAATTGTTAGATAAAAAGTCAAAAATGTGAAGAAGCGAAATTTCCACGATGAATTTACAAGAATTTATCTCGTCGGTCTGTCCGAATAAGTGACATATTAAATAAAAATTAACTAGCGATAGAACAAATAATAATACTATTCTGAAAACGACTATTCGTGATGCAAATAAATATTGTGTGCAATGCTTTCGAAATCCGAAGCATGGGATAGTCCATTTGCTGTATATAGATCACACTCGATTCCCCACTTATCATGCCACGCTATGAGAACTTTGCCCGTAACTTTGCCGTCAGTTTGCACGTGAGGAATTGCGTCCGACCATGACCGTACACCCCACTTGTGCGACTCTGCTCTATATCGTTCTTAATACAATCCAGTCCAATAATTCACTACTCTTTTTTTATCCTCGATTTTCCTTATTCTTAACCTACGATATTCCGGCGCGCATACCGATAATAAATAATTAATAAATAACTATACGTAAACCGAAACCTTTCGTGAATCGTCATAACTATTATTTAAAGTGCAGATATATGCAAATTATAGTTGTCGGATATATACTAAGAATCTAATCACCCACGGGTATTATTATCAAAAAAAAAATATAAGGTCAAGTATTAACATTTTCTCAATGTCTTCGTTTAGTTTCGCAATTGTTCCTGTCAAGTAGTCTCTGCTTCTCGTCCCAGCTTACAGATATAATGAAAGACAAAATAAAACTGACTCGCGAACGTAATTTGAACGCTACTTTATGTATTTATTATCGTAGTTTACGTAAGTAAACTTCCTAGGTACAGTTATTTTGTAAATCTCGTAAGCTCGCAATTTCTTAAATAGAATGTCGCAGTTCGAAAATTATTTTTGTAACATGCGCTCGAAAATGATACATCGATACGGGATGACGATGTTTACAGTGATCAATTATTATATTATAACAAGATGTTTGTAACAATAATTAATCACTATAAACATCGTCATCTTGTTATTAATGGATCGATTTCGATATATATTATCTTTCTGAAAATAATAAGTTTTAACAGCTCTACAAGGTGATCAGCAATAAATAAACGAATGATATGAAACGATGATCCAGTTATTCGTAATGAAAGTCGACCAATAGATAGTCAGCTCGAACTTTAGCATGGTGCGTCGTGTCATGAGCGTCTCTCATTATTATTATTATTATTATTATTATTATTATTATTATTGCAGTAGAAATATTTTGAATCCTTAACAATTTGAAAACGACGTTGACATTTTGGACGCCTGAACAATCACTCCTTAGATTTATTTTCCATCTGTAATTGAACAGCCCGAATATCAGATACATTCAATATTTCAATGATATTAACATGCGAACGTTAACGAAACGAGTGTATTTGCAACAAGACAGTCAAGAGGCATAACCGTCATCGGTGTTTCCCAATTTCATCATTTTATGCATGTAATACGCATAACTTACGTATAGGCAATTAATGTTTACGAGTATTTTGTGAATCGAGCTTGATCGTCAATTTCATCGATGCGCTTGCTATTCGAGCGTAAACATTCAAATTACCTGAGTGCACTTTGTAACGCAGGCGAGTGAGAAAACGCGGGTTAAGAAAGGGAAGGAACACGGGGACAGGCACTGTTGATGTTGCCTACGGTTAGTCTCATCATCAGTCGATTTCCGCGCCGCGAACGAATTGCCGCACGAAGCAACGTTCAAGTTCGCAGACCATACGAAAGCTAATTTCGCTGTTCTATAAATTCGAATTAATTGTACCAATTACGTATTACTTTATTTTAATGTAAACGAACGTGACACGATCGTTGCTCGCAACGATCCTCGATTTGATCGAGTAATCTAGAACGTGTTGCATCGTGTTTCCTCGCTACGAGGCTTACATTACTAATACGTGATCGAATAAAAACTAAATCAACTAATTATATACCGTTGACTAAAAGTGCACGCCGTGCAAACACCAGTGACTGATAATTGAAAAAGCAGTCGTTCGACGATGATCATTTGAAAAATACACGCAAAGGAGTTTAATAGTGCAACGTAATTGCCGTAAAGCGATCGAACAGCATTTTATGTAACTCGAATTTGTGGGGAGTGTATGTCGACATGAGGTAAATAATACCATTGGCAAAATTGTTTATTTGATTTTACGGATACTGTCGGACATCGTTGTATCATTTGACCAAATTGTTGAAACGATCAAAGCTATTATATTTATTATTTTTTATATCGCACTCCTCTTGTTCTTCTCTAAATAACTGTCTGTCAACGCGTATGGTTAATACGGAGGTTTGAAAAAATTCATTGACGTTAGACCAGTTCTAAGAAAAACAGGCAGAAGAGTGATTGATGCATAAATAATGGAAAAACATGAATTTTCGTTTGCATACTATTACGTTGCGGTTAACAATATATATTCACTGTTTACGCATCGCCACCGGTCAATGAAATAAGAACAGAAATATCACACAAACGGCAGTTAATTATAAAGAAAGGAGAAGGAAACAAATTGTGTGCAGAGAGAAATGGAAAAGAATAGAAACGAAATATGACAATTTAGACGAGTTCGCAGCAGAAACAGATTACTATTGCACTAATACATCAACAAAAACAAATATGTAGTAATTAAAATGTCGTGCACGAACAATCACAGACCATTTGCATAACATTTATTTTTTCTCTAATTTAATCAGTGAAACTGCCGAGTGTTAATAAGGTCATTAAACGACCAATGCGAGCCGCTAGCAGGTTAAACAATCAAGTTTCTCGCAAAACACGCGTATCACATTTTGAAATTAATTTAATCAAAATAGCAAGGTCACAATATTACTGATGAATTCATGCAAATACCTTTAAATGTTAATGAGAAAGCGGTCACTTTGTTGCATACATGTATATTTAGCAACGAAGACATTTGCGTAATTAAATGAAATCAGAAGTAACTGTATTCACAAAACTGATTTTTTAAATTTTCGTCACAGACTCAGGAAAACTTTTGTCATTCCAAGTGTTAGGACAATTAAAAAGAAAAAAGTATTTTAGTCATTATACAGTAAACTAGTCTCCACCTAACGTTTAAAAATATTCAAGTCATTTAGTCCAGTTCTAAAAAGCTAATTGCGTTTTAATAGGTCTTTTTAAACTTTTGTCCGTAAGTGTATGTTAACGTGGAGGAAAATACATAACGAAAAAAATCGTTTTGCTGAGCTAGAATCATGTTTTAAATCGCCGTGCGTGGTCGCGGCTAGAGCCCGCTGGCTGCGTTGGCCGAGCATGTCCTTTCTGCTCGCTCTCTGATTGGTCAGTGTGTTTCGTTAATAACTCGTCAACAAAGCCGCGGAGGACATTTTCGCTAAGGAAAAAGTGTCTTCGAATGTCCGGAGGCATCGCTCATTTCAAGTGGTTCGAACATATTTGGCATATCAATCGCGTCACTTGTAACTTACTACCGGAATAGAAAACGTTATGAAACCGTAATGTAAGTAAATTTTTAAAGCCTTGAACGCTTAATTTGAAACCGTTCGTATACTTTTGTGGTTTACTGTACACAAAGTTCATAGAAACGCGAATATTACGAGAAATAATCTCTATTACGGTTTGTTACAAATATTTTTCTATGTTCACACGTTAGAAAGCAATATGTTGAACGATGCATTATAACAATTATTTTATTAACTTATGTATCCTACACGTGACTTGTACCTTCTGTTTTACACGAGTGCTGCTACAACAGTAATAAGATATTGTTACGATATGGAATACGTGAGTTTATAGCCGTCATATCTAAAGATTTCAACTAAAATCTGTATATAATAAATGAATGGTAATAAACAATGATCCACAGGATGTGCGAGTCAGCTTTTCATGAATAAAATTTAAATTAACATCATATGAATTTTACAAAAATAAAGATAATTAATACAATTGATAAAGTTGAGATATAACTCAAACTTGTAACAATGGAATTATATAATTCGTTTTTAATTCGTTTTTAATTCGTAATTATTTTAATTCGTTTTTAATTTCGTTTCTAATTTTAATAAATGAATGGCAATAAACAATGATCCATGGAATATGCGAGTCAGCTTTTCATGAATAAAATTTAAATTAACATCATATGAATTTTACAAAAATAAAGATAATTAATATACTTGATCAACTTGAGATATAACTCAAACTTATAACAATGGAATTATTACAATTCATTTTGTCATACATAAATTTAGTTTGGAATTATCTAGGTGCTGAATAGATGGCGTTGTCTGAAAGTATTTGTATTGGGTAAAGAAAGTAAGTTTGCAAATTAATCCTGTAAAAACCGCTCAAAAAATGACAGAAGTCAATAACTGTACTAATTATTCGCACTATCTAGGTGAGGGAATGAATCTCACAACACTGAGTAGTTTAAAATTATCTAAGTATCTATTCAGAGTAAATATTTTTCAATATTATATATGACCCTCTATCCGCATAACTTTAAGGCTCTGCTGAAGTGGCCACATGTCGATACGCACGCCTACGGGACACGAAAATATCTTGAATATCTATCTGTTAAAATCTGCACAAACTTAAATATAGCAGAAACTGTCCTACTTACATATTTATTACATTCATATCGCTCGACTGAAAAATGTGTTCACATGTAATAACATTCCAATTATAGAAACAAACTTTTTACGAAGCGTCTTTAAAAGCATACATGCGTCATACAAACGATAATGTAAACATACCTTGAAGGGTCACATTGACAGAATCACAGTCACGTGACTCATGCTTAAAATAAAAATCTATGCGTGCCAAAATGTTAAAAAGACAAGTGAAATAAATTTTAGTTACTTTAAATTAACTTAACTCTAAATTATCTTAACGATAAATTTGATCAATAAACGATATACATTTTAGTAAACAATAACCGCTTCTTGCTTCTCACAGTGAGAAAACAAGAAATTACGCCACTATGATTCTATTTCACTCACATAAAACAGGCAACGTGATATCTATTAGCTTGAAATATTTTATGGAATGTTAATAGTTTTTCGAAAAATTAAATTGTTATAGATTTTGCACCATTTAGGCATAGCTTAAAATATGTTCTCAAATATAAATTAATTAGTCATAATATGCTTTCTCACCTAAATGATACTATAATTCACGTATTGTAGATATTATAGATATTGCAACAATTTGTAATCAATGATTTTACTTTGAAAGAAATATTTGACCTCAAACTTTATAATTTTCTCATCAGAATGCTATCACGAAAAATTGTTTTTCAGACCATTGTGAAATGATAGTAGAACAAAACAACATTGCAATCGTTCAATAGAAACATACGCGTTTAAATGCATATCAACGAAATGTTATCAACGAAATGTTGATAACACTTTATTCTAGTGCGTGATTAAATTAATTTTTGTCTGTATTTCTAGTTTTCAAAAGATTATTAAGTAAATGTGTACTTACGATTGCAATATCACGAGAGATCTTTAAATTGGAAAAGTATTATACAGATTAAATAAATATAATAAATAGATTTATAAAAATTTATGATAATCGCCTGTTCAAAGATAAATATCCAGAAAAAATTCAAAATTATTATAGACTCTAATTTCAGAAGAAACGACTGTCGCATGCAGCGAGTCAAAAAAGCTTGCTGTTTATCATGATCGTGTTTGTTTCTTGATATAAGACTTTCATTAGCAGACAGACACATTATAATATTCGGTAAAATTATTTGATTTGAATATAGTAACCATTTTCATAAAAAGTATCTATTGAAAATTCTGAAAATAATGTGTCATATTGTCACAGTATGTCGCACAAAAACGATAATACTTATGGAAATGTATGTAAATAAAGTATAATATTACGTTCTGCACGTTGGAATTGAACATAGATAAACCGTATATGTAAAAAGGAAAAACAAATATGAAGGCGAGTAGGTAATAAAAAGGGGGACAGAGAATAAATTTTATGGAGAGAAGTTAGGAAGGTAAGAGGTGGAGATATAGGGGGAAAAAGAAGAACCTAAATGAGAATTTATAGTTAAGAAATGAGGGAAGAGGAAGCAAAGTGGAAACAGGTGAAATCAGACAAAATGAAGAAGTAAGACAGTTTAGAGGAGATACAAAACGGGAAAATAGAAAAGATAGAAGAAGGGTTGACAGAAAAAGAAAGGTCACCGGGGAAAAGGCGCACAGGATTGGCGATAACATTTGAAAAAACAATTAGAATGCTCGGAGAAAGGAAGACGAAATTATAGGAGGGATATGGAAAAGAATGAGTAAAGGAAAAAAACAGTGTGGACAAAGAGAAATGATTAATATAAATAGAAAAGACGCTACAAAATATAGAATATAGAAGAACAGTGAAAAAGACGATATAAAAAAGAAGAAAGATTTATAAAGATTTATGTGCAAATAAGAACCAAAAAGAGAGCATACCAAATAACAAATTAAATTAGTTTAGGAAAGAAAATAAACCAGGTTAGACTCCAAATAGCGTCTCGCACCCCGCTGATCACCTAAATGCTACGCAAACATATACATATAAAGCAACATATATGTATAAGCATACGCATCTGAGGTGCTGCTAGCCAAAAGAGGCGACCACGGAGAGCGAGACGCGCGACGGGAGTCAGGAGGCGTAGCCCTCGCGATCTGAATGTTGCGTGGTGGTTAATTCCGAGCCCTGGTATAAAGTGTAATATACGTATTTAATACATCATAACGTAGAATAATACAATGTAATCTAATTTTAATATAATAGTAATAGATTTTAATTGGAGAAAGTAAGAAAGGGAGAATGGAAGAAAAGAAAAGAATGTGTGAAGCGAGACAAACACGTATAAAAGAATTTGTAAATATTTGTAAATTAAGCGTAAATGTCACGATTACCAGGCTGAAATAAAGACATTAATAACGTGTAGAATACAGACAGTAGTGATTAAGCATGAACAATTGATCGCTGAGAAATTAGAATGAAGATTAAGAGGGATCGAATGAAGGTTAAAAATGTAAAACTGGAACAAGAGGAATACAGCGATTAGGGAGAAAAGTAAGAAAAGGGAGAACTGAGAGCGCAAATCGAAAATTTAGTGGAAGTGGTGTTA